CTGAGTGTGCAAGTGAAGATGCAGGGTAGAAAGCTGCGTTCGCGGAGAGTTTGCACGGCCGAGTTGAAACTCTTTCATCTTCGCCCACCCCATTTGAGACATTCCTTTGCCGAGGGATTCATGCAGTTCGCGTAGGGCCCTGATTTTGCAGCACCAGTCGAGCATCCTGAACTAGGGAAGTTCGTCTCCCTCTCTGACTGCCGTCGTGTGCATTCACCTACCGTTGCCTTGGTGTGGGAGTACAAAGCCATGTCACAGACTGGTGTAGAGTCCGTGTGGCTTTCAGAACCTGAGCTTCTCCGTACGTTCACACGCTTGCAGTTGGACGGCTTCATTGCACTATGGCATCTGTACTATCCTGAATTGGCGTCTCAACTTACCCCACGCTCCCTACCGCGTGCACCGTTGTCCGCCCGTGAAGCCCTGAGAATCTACCCAATAGGTTTCGCTTTCCAGAAAGACTTTGGCGGAGGGCAAAAGGTCCAAGGACAAGTGTTTGGTTACCCAAACCGCTACTGGCGTGTGCGTTACAGTAACAAACTGGGAGGAGTTGACGCGTCAGGAGCTGGAACGCTTTCTTCACGGAAGATCGTCGTCACCGCACCAGTGGCTGCTGATTCGTGCATGTTGGGGTGGGGGAACATTTACCCGTGAATGGTGTGGTTTATTACTTGTCGCCATGTCAAGTTGGGGGGAAGCAATTGCCTTGTGGGTTTATTGGGATCGTGGAAACTGTGGGGCCTTGGAAAATGCGGCGCTGTCGGAGGAGGAGGTTTCTTGAGGCTCAGTCGTGGTGAATGGGGGTACTTGCGGAGTGTATGTATTTGTTCCTACTCGGTAGGCGGTACCGAGTCGATGGTTGATTGATGTGTTCATTGTATGCAAGCGGGCATGCGTGGACTGGTAGGTCCTGGAGGACTGGGTCGCAATCGCTGTTATGATTGTGATAACGCTTGCAGCCAGTGGCGGTATGTCGGTCTATTCCACTGGCATGGAGATCGCTCCCCATGCCAACGAACTTCACGAGAGGGTTTGTCGAAAGTTTGTCCCTCAGAGAAAAGAGAGAGACGAGATGGCGGCGTGAAGTATCGGGTGAATAGTTCCTTTCGAAGAATATCGGTTGATGGAGAATCCTGCGGTTCTGCCATTGCATTGGTTACAAGCACAGGATGAGGCGTTAGTATATTATGAGTTGATAATATGCTAGGGGGGATGTTACCGTTCGAGACATTCATTGTCCCGCAAGTACACCCGCACAGAGGTAGTTGGCCGCATTATGCGGAGCCTCTGCAAGAGCTGTCCGGACTCGCCCTCCTCTGCTCACAACCAAGCTACAATCCTGAGCTTGAACTAAAAAAATAAGACCATAACATCCACAAGGAAGCCTTTGCTCCGACGCTACATCGGCTACTACAGCTGGTACGAGTATCTTCACTACTCATCGCACTCGGTACAGTCGTTCGATTGCACAAAGAGGGGTTAGTGTGTGTGCATCGTTGCATGAGCGAATACCTTTCAGGAGCCATAATCCCCTTTCTCGCGCTAGAAACCGTGCCGTGAACGGGAGCTGTACGTACTTACTGCTTACACACGTGAGACCTCTACCCTGCGTGCTAGCGACTCGTGACAGTTACGCGGCGCAACGTCGAATTCATTCCTTCTAGCTTTTCGGCTTTCTGCGCGGCCCATGATAGAAAAACAATGGCATCGTATAGCATGTGGCTTCATCCTTGGGAAGGAATATACTGGTTTCACCGTGGTTGTCGCTGTCGATATCGTCGAGCTTCAAATGTTTGGCGCGCATCCGATATTCACGAGCAAGCTGACCGGAAAGCACATGACAATGCCGACCGGAGGAACTCTAACTGCAATTGTTGCCGCCCGCGTCCTGCGTCCATTTAGAAGACGCGTTATTGGCGGAGAATTCCCGGTGTTGCTGCCTACGACGTCAATCTTGGTGAGAAACATAGGTACTCCTACCATCCTAACCGTGTTGGAGGAGGGGAGAGGGCATGTAGTTCGAACTTGACTCTGCGCTCTCGCCGCTATGCATCGTTCGAGACATGAACAGGTTTTACGATAACATTCCCTGGTATATTTCAGTAGATCGATTCCAACCATGCGACCGAAGCGATTGTGGTGGCCAATGCCACTGCACCAGTAAAGTAATCTTCGCGATCATCGATACCTGACGGAGTAAACGAATAAAAAATCAAACAGACGTGCATGTGTAAGAGGAAGTGCAGGCATTTGCTCGCAGACGTAGCGGTGTGGCTGATGTCGAGCCTCGGGCGGAACTTCAAGATCCGCCGCTTCATCCTTCGAAGAGTAAAAGGCAGACTAGAGTAAAGAATTTCGACGAGTCGGGAAGGGGCGGCAAGAGGATCAAGACAGAAAGTCCTTAGCAGATGTAAAGGGATCCTATATCATTTCTTATGGATCTGCAGACTTGTTTGTGGGATCAGCGGTGTCTTTGAATTTGGACGCGAGTGCATAGCTTGGTTGTACGGTAGTAGTGGGTTGGTTTTGGGTGTTGGATGTACTGTAAGCGTTTTGCTTTTGTCCTTTAATTGACATTGGGATGACCGGACATGACATTTTTTTCTCAGATAAAATGAGTGCGTCGGGGTGGCGTGGCTTGTGGTGCGGCTTTTAGTTTCATTGCCCCTGTATCTCTATTGTCTTTCTAGCGTAGGGAACAATAAATGGCAGGGCAGCAGACAGGCACCACCAGACAGTCAAGGTTTTGTGTGTGGCTGGTGACTTACACGGGAGATGACCCGACCAGCTGCTACTGTTACTGTATCGACGACTATCATACACACACTTTCGTGGAGTTCTGCCGTTGTTTGAATATAATTACGATGAGCGACACAGGACATAGGACGCCTGTTTGGCGCTACCTCCCCGGTTTTACTGTTCACCACCACACCTCCACCACCACCACCACGCACCTGCTCGGTTTGTTAGAGGAAGCCATTGCTGTGTGCTGTGGTAACGCAAGAGGTGCTGCGATGGCATAGACTACATGTCCAAGGAAAGACGTGGTGTGTGTAGAGAGAGAGAGACCAAAGAAGGAGAGCCAAGATACAGCACCTTGACTCCTGTGCTCGGACGGACGAACAATCTTGACGCTTCTTCTTCGGGTTCCTCTTTGGGTTTGGTGGCCCAAATACTCTTCCCCATAAAGCTATCTCGGGCTGTTAGAGAAAGCCATGGCTGGGTGCTATGATGCAACGAAGAGGGTGCTGTGGTGACATATGCATACATACATGGTGTTTGTGTGGAGACCAATTAGACTACAGAGCAAAGATACAGCAGTTTGATTCCTGTGCTCGGAAGATCTTGACACCTCCACTTTGGGTTTGGTGCTACAGATACTCTTCCTTATAAATCTGCCCCTTTGGAAAAGGAAGCAGAGGAAGCCATCGCTGGGTGCTGTGGTGTAACGAAGGAGGGGCTGTAGTGACATATGCATACATGTGTAAGGAAGGACGTGGTGTGTGTGTGTGTGGAGACNTTTTATTTTGGTATACCTTTTCTAGGTACGTTAGCCTGTGACCACGGAAATTGGCCGAGTCAAGTGATGGATTAGTACGGAGAGATTGAGACAGAAGGAGGTACTGGATAGAGAGACCGGGATGGTTTTTAATGTGAAGACAACAACAACAACAACAACAACAACAACAGTTAACAGGCAGTTCACTGGAGGGGGGGGATGGCCATCCCCGTCCCACCATGCTCGGGGGGGGGCTTTGTGGGGTATGTGCAAAACCCATCCGCGCACCCCCCGCCCGAGTACCTGCGAGTACCAAAGAATATGACTCTTTATATAACCATAGGAGGCGCACTCTCGATTTTCCCATAGGAAAGCAGTTAACCATGCTCATGGGAAATTCTGGCTCTTTGCACCAAGAAACACGCTGCGAGAAAACATCGAAACCCCCCCGCTGCGGCCCACAAAGGCCAGCCGTGCCGCCCGTTAGGAGAGTTGTGCTCCTCGTTAGGGTGCAAGGGTATCGCTCTATACAGCTGCCGATCTGTGGCAACAAGAACGAGCTTCATCGGTAAAAGGTGCGCGGAGAAAAACTG